GAGCTTCCGCGAAATCCCCGTCACTTCATTAGTTCCAGGGACCCGATCCCGGGAAAGTATCTCCGTGGTGGCTCCCTTGTTGCCAAAACAGAAAACAACTCTGGTGACGAAGTGCGTAGATTTACCATCTCCAGCTCCCTGCCCAGAATTCGTTGGGGCTTTGCAAGTACAAGGGGATCTTCATTTAGGGTTTATGGTGTTGGGGGGAGGCACATCACGGCTGAGTTTCTTTTGAAGTTACTAACCTTCCATCTCCATAAGCTGTTGCTCGGGATTCGGCGGATTGAAAAAAGAGCTTCCGCAAGAGCTTCCGCAAGCGAAGTGCTTCCGCGAAAGCTTCCGCGCGCACAGCGGGAAGCACTTTTCGGAAGTTGTCCCCAGCCGGTTTCCGACGTTATTGCCGGATCTAGTTAACCTTACTCGACCGCCCATTTTTTTAACTGCTCATGCTCATGTGGAGATTGTAAGAAACCGTATGTGTATTTCAGGCTTCCTACCATGTTCTCTACCTGTTGTGGAACCCGACGTTCTGTTCAACGAGGCATGCCGAAGACACTTCCTGTCGGCGTCTGGAGTCGTTTCATGAGCTTACCTGGATTCACACTACATCTTTGACTTTGGACAATGTGAAAATTGAGTACTTTGCGGCTCTTGCGCGATACCCATCTAGCAAGACTAGCATTGTTAGATCGGATGCATGGACAGCAAGTCACCAGACTGCTGGTCCTCCTTACCTCGCCATTCAAGAGGGATAGAGGTTTGAGGTTAAGTACGGTACTCCCTGATCCGCTGCAATTGTCTCCATAGAGGATTGGCTCGAAGGCAGGCTCAACACAGTTAAATGCCACGTGCTGAGCGTCCGTAATGAGCACATTCTTCAGCATCCTGGACTCCGGGATCTAGAGCTGTCAAAGCCCAGATATCACTCGTGCAGCTTGACGAGAACAACCGCCCACATATTTCTATTGCCGCGAGTACGCGTTTCAGCGCTTGACGGGTGTTTTGATGTTATCTTCAAGCTGTGCTCGAAGTGACGGACTGTTCCAAGCATTGCAAGGCTGCGAGCTGCTGCGAGCGTCGAGCAGCTTTGACGGATCAATTAAGGCGTCAGGCTGTTCTTCCGTTCCTCCACCCTCAGAAGGAGCCAAAGTTCGACAGCATGTAAGCTGGCCACTGATTACATCTGAATGCTCCTGAGTAATTTCGGCAAGGTAAGGTGGCTTTGGGAGGAAGCTTGGATCAAGGGCTTAGCACGAGTGAATAGCACAGGGCCGCGGCAGTACAGGTTCCAGAGTCTGAACTCCTCAATCCACATGTGGCAAGGCACACAATCTTGCAGATTATGTCGCTAGGGCGCGCCGGATGGCAAAGGAATCCGGAGAAGCTGCCACGATCCATGCGCGGAAGCTGGCATCCCACCCTTCTAGGCGATCATGGTACGAAGCGCTTCTGTAATCTTTCGACATTTTTGTGCTGGTCTACGGTGTTTGAAGCTGGCAATAGCTGGCATGGCTGGTAAGGAATGTCCTGAAACCTGCCCACATAAGCCAGCCATAATTTATGCTGGAATTTCACATGGAGTGTGCAGATATGGCGTTTGCGAAATACAGTCTCCACCATGGCTGAGGCTGTGCATCTTCTGTGTGTCATCTCAAAAACATGCCGCCCTGCAGTTGACGAGGGCAAGGCGAAATTTTCTTTACCCTCTCTCTGCATGGGCAAGAGACCTCAGGAGATGCCGTACTGGTTGGGGTACCCGAAACAACTTTCGAAGTGACTGACTGCAGCATACTGACGAGACACGCTCATGATAGTGCTGGTGTCTGGTTGTGGTGGTTAACATATGCCTCAACTGCACGGTGGCCTTGTCCCACAAAAACACCGTGGCTCAAGGCATTCCGTAGCTATGATATGATGCCAACTTCTACTTCTGCCACTACGCTGTCCGTGACTGCTGCGGCTAAGGTTTGTGCTTCCTTCGTGAACACCACCAACAAGCGACAGCACCACCATCACCACTGCTGCTTGTTCGTTCTGCTACTCACTACACTTTGCTTGCTTGCCTTTTAAATGTACCATTATGACAGTCACGCATGTACTTAGTTGCTAGCATTCCTTCTCAGGCCTCGTGCACGCCAGTCGAGGCGCCGCTTGGCACCGCTGCAGTAACTGTAACTCCACCCTCAGTGGTGAGGTCGACCTGGGCATGATTCCAAAGGCCGGCAAGCGGCTGTGTCGCCAACAAAGTAGATCCAGGTAGTCTTCAGAGCAGGCTACAAAGCCTGGTTTTCTGGCTTGATAGAAAGCCCGCCGCGCCTCCACAGTCGGATTGCCGCGAGAGTCCAGGATCTCACGGCCCTTCAGTGCCTGTGTCCGCCAGCTCAGAACGGCACAAAAAGAGCTGAATGTAAACTTCCGCGTTACAGGCATCCCTCGTAAGCTTCAATGGCTTTGCCAAAGAAGAACTTGCACTGATGCATGCAACAGCGATTACAACTGTTTTTGCCATTGTAGCTTGGGGGCCTTGATCTTGAAGAGGCCTGCCGAGACTGCCTCAATCGCCGCGGAGACTTCGCTGGCACCCGTGGCCTTTAGCGCTTCCTGAGTCTTTTAGGACTATCGCCAGCGCCAAAACTTCAGGAAGTCACAGCTCAGTTGGTGAAATGAGACTTTGCTGATGGAACAGTCTTGCTGACGCGGAATGAGCCTACTGTCCACTCCCTCCTGAAGCCATTGGGTTTCAGCTGCCAAGAATCAAGGATCGCCTTGGCCATTGCAAAAAAGAAGCCTGCCAGTGCAGGTGCTGCGGGAACCCAAACTGCCCATACGCACAGGTGTAAACTTTCAGGCAGCTTTTGACACTGTAATGGCACTGCTGCCCACATCACCCCGAACGCACGAAAACAAAGACCTGACAAGCAGGCCTTGGAGCGGGCGTGAATGCAATCGATGGCGTGTCTTGCTTGGAGCCAGATCAGGCCAGCGACACAGGAAGTTCACTGGATTCTTGAAGGGCAAGCAGCACACTACAGAAGCAGACAACTATGCGTCAGAAAGCCTGGCGACACGAAGGCCAGCGTAGCTCGCTTTCACCGCATCTTGCCCAACACAATGACTCTCCACAAACCATCAGACACTGAACCAGCGTACCCTTCAAATTGTAGCACGTTCATGTCAATGTCGTTTTCAGATGGCATCCGAGAGCAGTTGACACAAAAAAGCAACCGCGCTCCAGAAATCAGAAGCAGAACTGAAATTTCTGCCAGGCTTCTGCAGCTTGACCTTGATGTTGGAGATAGCCCTGCTCGAGCTAGGTGCATTCACTTCCACTGAAAGGGACTCGATGCAAAACCAAACGTTTCATGCGAGACATGTTCTATCCGAAGAATACCCAAGAGCAAGTCAGCAGCCAACATGCAAAAGATTGCGCCATGCGTGGGACTTGCAGCTGAGCCCTGCATGCTTTCTCCACACTCTCATGGGCTCTCAAATGCGGAAGTCGCCGGCCTCAACCAAAGCTTCCGCTCGGCAATGCTCCTGAGGCTCGCAGCTTCCGGCAACTGCACCAGACGGGAGGCAGTTGCACAAGGAGACATGGGCCCCGCACAGTACTATCTTGCTCGCAAGCTCATTTAGCGGTTGTCAGGTCACGTCACAAGGAGCCCAAAAAATCAGCGCATAGCTCGGAGAATGCCCGATCCTCCGATCGAATTCTGCTGGTAGCCTAGGCGTAAGTCTACTCGAGTGTGAACCTTGGTGCAACCCAGCTTCTCTCTGACAGCTGGCTTGATTGCAGTTGCCAACTGTAAGATTTGAATGATACCCTGCCATGGTAAAAACTATGTCCGAAACCAAAGTCCTTGAGGAGAAGAGGTGTTGCTCCACAGTGAAGCAGGTGCAGCCTGGTGTACGGGTCGCTTGCATATCTGAGCACAAGCTGTCCACTGCAAATTGTGCTGTGCAAGTGCAAATGAGGTTTAAGGCCACAGCTAATGCCCACCTTTTCTGTGCAGGATGTGCCTGAGTGGCTGCTGGCAGGTACTTATTGCGCCTGCAAAGGAGGATTGTAAGCGAGTATGGATGGCGGGAATCTTGCGCCACCCCATGTACCTTACATTCTTGGACTTCCTGCAGATTGGGGATCCTAATGGGTGCAAGCTTTCCTCCCTCTGCCGTAGGATGGTTTGTAATGAGCTACTGACTACACTGGCATGAGTTGCGGGATGTTGGAAGGACATCTTTGCGTTCTCTAAGACTAAAAAGGAAAAGCTTCACAGCTTGCGCCAACAATTGCGCCCCGTGGCCTTCCAGGGTCTCCTTCCACCACAGACGAGACAACAATCGACTTTCTTGAGCTGTTGCAAACACTCAAGAGACCAAGCATCTTGCGAGCTGTGACGCTGACCTCCGAAAGACAAACCTGTGGATCAAAGTGAATTTGCAGCAGTTTGTCTGGGATTCTTGTCTTTCCAGTGTTGGACAGGTCTGGTTAGCATTTCATCTGGAGATCTTAATCTGTTACTTGAAGACTTGGTTCACCTTCTACAAATCTCAGGAGCTAGATAGCACCGGCATAGTTGTAGGACTTCCAATTCCGAGTTTGAGAATAGCATGCGAGTAGAGCGAGTGCAGGCCTTGCACGACTCGTTCTCGTAGAGAGCCAACCGTGCCTTGGGGCAAAAGCTCAGGACCCGAACAGATTGAGCCTGCACGTTCAACATGGAGGTCATTAGAAGTCTTGGTCTGGAACTGCCTGGGCCCATGATATCCGTATTTTTTGTGGGTTTGGCTCACGCAAGCACCCCATCTAGCCTGAAACTGTTGTTGGTTTGCGCAAAATGTTCTAGTTGGTTAGGGGGGCAAGCACTCTTCTCATAGATGAGCCCAACAAAAAGACCGTGCTCCTGTCATGCCAAGGCGTAGCGAAAAAAAACTCCTTGCGGTAGAGCCTAATGGAAGCCCAACAGCCCACTCCGTTGGCTGCCTAGCCCCACTCACACTTTAAGAATTTTATGCCAAAGGCATGGCAAAAAAGTGCGCATGGCAAGTTGGCACCGAAACCCCTGCAAGTTGCAAGCGCACATGAAGCAAGCAGACCTTGTCGCCAAGCTGAGGATGGAGTTCGCAGTAGAGAACCTGGGGGGCATGGATTCATGCACTCGGCTTCGGCTTCAGCGGGTATGGGGCATTCTAGCATAGCCTCGTTCCGGCGTACCAAGCAGTCATGTTCCAAGACACTGAATTGCACCTGTGACCCCTTGCGTCACGCCACGGCTGCTGCAGTCGTTTCGATTTGGCTAGCTGACATAGTTGGCGCATCTCTTCCAAATCAACGGACAGGAAGCCTGAGTTCAGTTACAACACCCATTGGTTTTGAACCAACGTGGCCAGCACCTTCTGCGCGCTTTTGGGATGGCATCGGCAGGAAGGCCCAAGACGGGCTTGGAGCGATGAGGAATCGGGCTCTGCCAACTGCAATCTGCAAAGAATCAAGCACCTCAAGAAAGACTTGAGTTCTGTACCGATGTGGTCGACGAATCGTCATGGTGTGCCAGGTACCCGGCCTGGCCAAGAGATGCAATCCAACTCTCTGACCCTTTCTCCTGAAATCGCAGCAATGTACAAACACATCAAAACGCTCGCCAGCTCAATCACATGGTGTGGGTACCGTGCAAAGCACAACACCCAGGACCCAATTCTGGCGAATGCTTTTACCGAAGCCTAGCATGTTGGACAAGATGGCAAGCCTCTGCTGCATCCCTTGCAAGATCCCGCTTGATTCAAGAGCCCGGATAAAGAGTACTAGCTACACCTCCAGCTCCTCCACGAAGCTGTGTACGTATGAGATCGTGACTTTCTGCAAGTGCGCTGTCTGCAGCTAGGCAATGCTGAGCAGCGTGGCCATGATTCGGCGGTGTGTTGAAGGCACCTTTGTCAAAGCGACCCAGTCTTGCGCTTGCGCCCTTACGTCATCTCCAGATTAAATAGGTTAGTGCTGAAAAAAAAATGCAGATGCATGTGGAATGCACCTTGCTGGCTGCTGGGAATTTGACATCACGATACCGATGAGGCCGCAGCTTCCGGCAGGGGCTTCACAGCAATCTGGAAGATTGGAAACAGAGACTGAGTGACCTGGCGGCATGCTCCAAGGCCCAACATTGAGGCGATAGGCTGGCCATCGCTCGTTCCGTAATGTCTTGAAACTAGCCGCTTTATGGCCTGTTGCAAAAGTTCTCGGGAACTGGCCAAGCTGCCAGTTGTCAAGTGCGTGTGCAAAGCAAGTCTAGTCACCAGGAGATCCATGGCTTGGACCCTGGCCAGGCGAACAGCCCTGGAGATGTCCATGACCTTGTCGGGTAGGTCCAAAGGATGTGGAACTTGCTTCCGTACGACGCTTCTTCCGCGACAGCACAGAGGTCTGGGTCAAATTTGACTCCGGTGCCATTTTGAGTCTTCCGAGGTGAGACTTGATGGGGCAAGTAGAGCCCAATGAAAGCTAGCCGTGTTTTTTGTTCAGCACTTCCACAATGCAGACACTGTACGGAACTGTACTGCAGAAGGGGGTTGATGCAACCACCGAGCCTAAGCGTACCATACAAGCAAGGTTTGTGAGCACTTCAAAAAGTGGAAAGGGGGTACATGTAGCCACCACATGCCACAACCACCAGATAGAGTGAAGAAGCTCCACCGATCCATGAGACTCGACCGATCCATAAGCGGACATATCAGTAGATCCCCTCGCACAGTAAGTATTGTTGCGGGCCCGAAACACAACTGGCTTTCAACAGACGTCTCAAAGCTCAGAATGGGCCTCAGCCAAGCTAGTAGGCCTGTAGCCGGAATGCCATGGAAAAAAGATGCTGACCCCCTCAAATCACCTCAACCACCTCTGCCAAAAAGCTGGTTCCGAGCAAGAACTGATATCACACCCTCTGACACTCCTCAGCCCTACCTTTCGCGATGTTTTATTGCCAAGGGCGAAAGCGAAGACAAGAATTGAAGCACGTGCCCAACATTCCAGCTGAGGCTAAGGCCCAGTTCGATCGCTTCTCATCAGCCTCTGCCTCGCCCTCCACAGCTGACACCTTGTGCATCCAGGTCAATAGCGCACGCTGGAACCATTGGACTCTAATCCTGCGAGCACTGCGAGCGCCATCCATTAACAATCAGTAACCCAATCACACGGAAGATGTCTTCAGATTTTGTGATCTGCAACATGCGACACACTGCGAAATCAGGGGAGCTGCATCCTACATGTACACGCAGGTACGTGCCGGCTAGATGCAAATGATTTTGCTGACGAAGCTGCACGAACAGGAGATGACTGCATGACTTTAGAATTGAGCTTGTTTAGACTAGGGATTGGCAGAGGTGTTGCTGACCTAAGGAGGCAGAATGGGCAGGGCTGGCATGGCCATTATGGTTCGGAGCTGCGTCAGAGAGTCGCATCATAGGCCAGACCATATGCTTGGTATCATCCTGTGTCGCCAGAAGATGTCCGGTGCAAGAGTCGGCATCAAGCAGCCAAGGGCTGCGCGCCAAAGTAGAGGCAAACACCGTGCGTGAACATCGAAACCTGCAAATATCACTGACAGGGTTGTGTACTGCTTGGTGACTTGATGGAGGCCTTTTTCACATGTCTTGATACTGCCTCTTCAGACAGGATCTCAGGATTCCACTGACTGCTGCTAGATTCAACATGTCAAGACCTGATGCACTCCATGCAGTGAGCAACTCGCCCCCGGTCCTTGAAGCAGCGAAACTTGGCCAGGTCCACGCCCTTTTGGG